ATCATTGCCGCCCAATGGCTCATCATTTATTAAATTTGTCATTTATTTATTATTATTTTATTTGATTTATATTTATTGTTTGTGAGCTACCTTAATGTTTACTTAAATTGTTTTATTTACCAATTGTATGATCATTGTTGTTGTTTATTATTATTATTTTTTTAATCTAAAAATTTAAATGGCGCCGCATAAAGCAAGCATTGTGCCAGGGTAACAATCCAAGAAGCCTTGTCCAAGAAATACCGAAACGACCTATGTATACCTTTGTATAGGAAGCCAGATCGCTTAGACTTAGCTAATGAGTTTTATGGTCTCCACCAAAATCCAATGAGTTTATGGTTCTCCACCATGTATCAAAGTAAAAGTTGGGTTATAAATCCGAATGCATATGGTTAATATGTAGAACTCGAAAAACAGTAACGCGGTACCGTTATCCGACGCCACACACCAAACCAATGCGGTAGTGAAACGTAAAACTCTCGAAGACAGAGCAAAAAGGACGGCCTGATAACCCTTAAGAGATAATGGCAATGACGCACGACGATCTTCCTTCACCCAGAGCTGAATTACGAATGATTGTTGTTGTTTGCTTCATTTGTCCGTAAGGATTTTTTTATGTTGTTTTGTATTCCTTTTTTGTACTTGTTTACGAACTAAACGCATTCTTTGTCCCTATATTCTACTGCAGTAGTTTCGTTCAGTTTATTTATTTGGAAATGAACTGTTGTAAAGTACATAAACAAAAAGAAATTGTAGGCTCAGTAACTCTAGGCCTGATAACCCTTAAGAGATAATGGCAATGACGCACGACGATCTTCCTTCACCCAGAGCTGAATTACGAATGATTGTTGTTGTTTGCTTCATTTGTCCGTAAGGATTTTTTTATGTTGTTTTGTATTCCTTTTTTGTACTTGTTTACGAACTAAACGCATTCTTTGTCCCTATATTCTACTGCAGTAGTTTCGTTCAGTTTATTTATTTGGAAATGAACTGTTGTAAAGTACATAAACAAAAAGAAATTGTAGGCTCAGTAACTCTAATTATAAAGTTTAGGTTGTTGTAAGACCTGTTTCAGGCTATGCCTTTGGAGTCAGGGACACCAGGCATGCCTTACGAGGTTGTAGGCAAAGGGGAGAAAGAAGAAAAGAGTGTTGCAAAACAGGCACGAAACGTAATTTAAATGGTTTTTTCGGCATTGCTTTTGTCACACTTTCGTAATTTTGGTAGTTGCTTTATATCTATTATTTTATTCACACATGTTAAGCGTTGCCACTTCCAATAATTAAATTTTTTTTATATTTTATTTTATTCGAAAGTAATTGATTTTTTAAAATGTTAGCTTATTAAAATGAAATTATTACTTTAATAAAAAATTACTACAAAAAGATATAAAAACAAGTAAGAGTGCTATATTCGGCTGTGCCGAATCTTATATACCATTCACCATAGTGTATTTAATAAATATCAATTTCATAAAATTTAAATTTATTTCATTTTCCCGACTATATCATTATTACCTATAGCAATAGCAAAACAAAATGAACAACAAAGCTAAACGAAAAAAACACACAAAAAACAAAATACACAAGGCAGTAAAACCAACAGACATCCAAACATACGAAACTGAATACACCAAGAAACAAAAACAATATACACAAGGCAATGAAACGCACAGGCAACCAAACATACGAAACGAAATATTAAAAGAAAAAACAAAATACACAACGCAATGAAACCAACAGACATCCAAACATACGAAACTGAATACACCAAGAAACAAAAAAAAATATACACAAGGCAATGAAACACACAGCCATCCAAACATGTGAAACGAAATACGCAATGAATAAGCAGTGTTGTTGTTGCTTATATATGTATCAAAGCATGAAAAAAAATGTATTTTTTATGAAATTTTCAGAGGTTGTCTGGGATTTTTGCTCATATCTCCGGTATTTATGGACTGATTCTGCTGATTTTAAATAGCGATCTTCCCGAAAGCATGTCTAACAGAATTATTGAAGATTCGGACCTCGTCGATATCTGGGCTCCTCTAAAAACTGATTCCAACAAACATACAGACAGACAGACGGACATGGCTTAATCGACTGCGCTATCTATAAGGATCCAGAATATATATACTTTATAGGGTCGGAAAATTATATTTTAGAAATTACAAACGGAATGACAAACTTATATATGTATACCCTTCTCACGAAGGTGAAGGGTATAATTACAGCTAATGGTAAACAGGCATGCCTTAAAAGTCACAATGTAAACATTCAAGATTGTACGAAGGGCATTTAAAAGAAAATTTAGAAAAGGCATGCCTGAAAAGTCACAATCAAAACAGGACTAAGGCCCATTATTATAACTTGCCAATAACTAAAGTTAGGAAGTTAGCCAGCAGATAATGTGTTTTTCGTTATTACAAGTCAACTTTAGCTAAAAGTGTCCGATAGGCTAACGGGAAGATCACGTTACCTTTAACTTTTAACGAGGGCTTTAATAATTTTTTTAAAAATATTAATAAAAAATAAATTCAATGTCATTCTTCATATGAAAAATATTATTAACGGCTAAAAGTATGCTACGGTTTTTGTATATTAAAAAATTATGTTGTAATAATGAAAATATTTAAAGTCCACTTTATTCCTCACTTTAATTAAAGTTACCTTTTATTATTACGAACTTTAAAGGCAAGTTGTAATAATGGCCCTAAGTCGCTTAATTTATTTATAAGTTACTTTTTGTAATAATTTTAATATTTTTTAAATTCGCTACCCTCAACATATAGGCTCAGGTCGCATCCAGCGACATCCATCATCATAGCACATTCAAAATGTGCTTCTTTATAAAAAAGTTCAAATTATTTTTTCTATTTATTTTTGAAAAAATATTTCTTTTTTAATTAACATTTGTCATGTAAGCATTAACATTTTTATGTTAACTCCAGAGTGAAAATAATCTACACTCTAGAGTAGAAATTGTTTGACTCTGGAGTGGATTAAAACGAGAAAGTCAAATTTAAAATTATATTGGTGTGAAAAAGAAAGAAATACAATTTGCTGGAGTGTGGAGTACTCCAGCATTGTGAACGTAGCTTAAATACTGAAAATGAACTTTGACCTTATTACAAAAAAATGCGAGCGATTGAAAGAAAATATAAGTGCATTTAAGTAATTAGTGTAGATAGACAAACCGCAATTACCTAGCGATGTTATATTAAATCCCAGCAGAAAAAAATCACTACTTCAAAAGTAGCACTAAGTGAATTTGTTTACCTTCTGTGGAAATGATGTTTTTCGCTTCTTTGGATTTTTTTGCTGGGATCACTTAGGTTTAATGTCTCAACCCCGCTTACCGTTTAACTGGTAAATATACTACCGGTATTTGTATGAAAGCTGTAAATAAATCGTTACAATAACCAAGTCAGAGTTCTATTTATATTTGGTTGTCCCGAATCTTATACATACATAAAGGGCCCTTCAGACGATCACACTTTACGTACGACAAGTCTAATGAAAAAGTAAAATGAAATTCCATCCGTATGACAAAAAAGAGAATAAAAGTCGTATGATTTATATTTTTTGTGTTTACACGATTGGTATAAAACAATAACAAAGTAAGATGGAAACAGTTGATTCACTTTTTTTGTATGTGTTTACAATCATTTGTTTGAATCATTTCAAAAAATGAAGAGAGCCATACGACTGTCAAATTTTCCATCCGTATTTTCTCTCAATGCGTGATGGTTTTATTACATATTGCGTTTAGACCACAGGGTATACAGAGGGGTCACGAGCAAAAATCTATTTCCCTCTCTTTCGCACAAAACGAATTCAATATTTTTTTTAGCTGTATTTTATATACCTCTTCTCACCAAACAATTTCAAAATCAAACAAAAGCTGATTTTAGACTTTTTTAAATGTCAAAAGTGACACCTCTGTATACTTTGTGGTTTAGACGATCCCATTCGATATCTTCTACACAAAATTCTGACAGATCATATTACTTGTGTGCTCGTTAAGTATGTATGTATTATGCTAGTTGATTTGTCCAAAACTAGTTGAAATCATGTAGATTTCCCATACATTTATGACAAACCCAAATCTACTTAATCTACAACACTGCGTTGTGTCTAGGATAAGCAAATATGACCATAGGCTATCCATTTAAATTGAATGTTTTCATCGAAAAAGTGACATATTATTTCAAAATAAAAAAAGAACAAATAATAATTTTAAAATTGTTGGCATTTAATAAATAAATTTATACAATTAAAACAGTAAGTTTGTATTTTTAATGTTTAAATTAAAAAAAAATAATTTTATTTTCGTTATATGACAGGATTTGTTCGAAAATTCGAATCTCAAAAACGAGAAAGCTCAGTGGAAACACTTCGAAGAGGTTTACGCAAATCTGGTAGATTTGAAGCCAATGGAAACATAGCATAAGATTCGACATATATATATCCTTCACAATAGTGTGATTTTAAAAACAGTTAATACATACACATATGTACATAAAAAATAAAAAAATAATTGATATTTTTCAATCTTCTTATTTTTTTAAATATTTAATGTGTTGTTTCTAGATAACGTACAAGTATTTTGGCAGGTCGTCGGTCAAGTTTTGGCAAACCGCGCCGTCTCCGACTCATATAGAAATTAAAAATGGAATGACAAACTTATATATACCCTTTTCACGAAGGTGAAGGGTATAAAAGTGAAAGTTAAAATAAAAATAGTTCTAGTGAGTTTAGAACTCGTGAAAATGAGTTGTATAACGTGAGAAATAAAATAAATAGTATTCATGAATATAAAAGTTTCCTACTCTGGTAGAGTAGGAAATTGGAATTCTTAAAATATTTGCTTCCTAAATCCTACATTGTAATCTCACGGATACCGCTTGTATTTAATACCGTTAAAAATTTAAAAACTTAGCTGAAAACTTGGCCGGCGTACAATCGATTTTAAGCCGTCGGAGAAATTTTTAGTGTCAACCGACGCTGTTAATATTTGTCGGCGCAGGGCTCTGGACATCGCTCAAACAATAATTGATTGAAAGTGTAAAAAAACAGAATAAGACATGATTTAAATTTTTATTTGGTGAAAACTTTGTTTTGTTTAACAAAAGGTTTGTTCCAAGTCAATATATGGTTTCAATTATTAACTGTAGTTTTGTTTATTAAATATGGTGACCTGACCACCCGCTAGTTATATATTTTTGTTTTAATCCTTTTTCCAAATTTGTTTCTATTTCAAGTCTGGCAACAACAAAATTGTGTTAAGAAGAAAGAATTAATAAAGAAGAAATTGTCAAAGTAATTTGCAGAAAAAATACACAAAAGTTGAAAAATTGTAAATTGAAATACAAAATATTAAATTAAGATATAAGAAAACGGAATAATAATGGGGAGCATCGATAAAGCATGTATATCAGGTTTTCTATGTCGTCTATGTTCGGAAATGCATCGAATTGTAATCCATATATATGGGGATCAGGGACAGCGCCTTTGTCTGGTTGAAAAAATAAATGGCTATTTGCCTATCACGGTAACCAAAGAAAATTTATTAGAATATGTTATAGATTTAATGAAATAACATCTAATGACTTCAGATCTCACCAACTGATCCGTTGCCCAAAACTATATGTACAACATGTTTGCGACGCGTAGAACAACACTACGATCTTTTGATGCGTTTGTCAAGAATTAAAAAAGAACGATTTCTGCGTTTTAACAACAAAGTATAATATAAATAATACATTTTACTTATTTGAAAGAAGCTAGACTCTATTAATAAACTACTGATAATTTTTCTGTCTTTAGCAGCGACCCCGTGTTTCACCAATTTCAAGTATTGAAAATTCGGAAGACGAAGTATATCAAAGCGATGATGAGTCTCGTCGGCGACGTCAGCAGTTGGATATTCCTCCACAAAGACAGATGACACAATCACAACAACATTTTTTATCAACGCCAGCGGCAACGACTGTATCTTCGTTATTTTCAGCAACAACCGCTGAATCTTTTTCTACATCTAGTTCCATGAATACAGCGTCTAGTTCAAACGATCATGGTAATGAGGATGATGATGTTGACGATGATGATAGTGGTGCAAGTACAAGTGCTAGTGCTTTGGCAGCAATTACGCAAACTATTACTGCTGTAAATGATACAAATATAGGCGATTCTACTTCATCGTCGTCAACATCATCGTCTACTCATCCACTTTCTGCTGAGGGTGGCAGCAGTTTCGGTATTGTTTTGCAACAGAACACTGACTGATGTTATTAAGTAAGACGAATGAGGACGTTACACATTATAATTATTACTAATACTGATTAGAACGTAATTGGATATAATTTAGATCTAAATCAAAGTGATCATCAAAATCCCTTTCCTCGCCCTTCCCTTTATCCTTCCATAACTTTCCATTATTACCTTACTGAAGTTCATTACAAATTATCATCAAACCCCTTCCCTCGCCCTTTATCCCTGCACAACTTTCCATTCTTACTTTACTGAAGTTCATCATAAATTATTATTAAAGAAATACAACAAATAGCCATATTAATAATTTAATGTTTTGCGTTTATCTAATAGGAAGTTTAAGTGCCGTAAGTGAACATTTGTAAATGAAAAACTTTGGTTACCATAAAGTCATCATCGCCTACTACTTTCTGCTGCCGGTGATAGCAGTTTCGGCATTGTTTTGCGACAGTACACTGACTGATGTTATTATATAAGATGAATGAGGACGTTACATGTTATAATAATAACTAATATTGATTAGAACGTTCCAACATTCCCCGACAGCCGGTTCTACGTACCAGCAACAACAATACAACAACAATTAGATCGTAATTGGATAGGTTAGTCCCAGCAAAAAAAAATGTGGAAAAAGATGTAGTTTTCACACAATTAGTAACCCGAAGTGCTTCAAATTCGGGTGAAAAACCTATGTTTGGTTTATAAAAGCGGAAAATATGCAATCGCAACAGGCCTGATAGAATCATGTGTGAATTTCTTCCGATTTGATGTACACTATGTCACTAAAGTCTACAAACTATTTTTATTTTAGGTGTTTTTCAGTGTATTAAAGGAAAAAACCTTTTACAATATTGTAATTTTTATATTTTGAGAAATATAAATCATAGGAAATCGTTTTTCAATTCCAATAAATAAACAAGTAAGAAATTATAGTCGGGCGAGGCCGACCATATAATACCCTACACCTGTTACAAAAATAAAATGTGATTTAGTTTTCAGAATAAAGCATTTAAGTTGAATTGTACCTTGTCTCAGATATACTTAAGCCATTTATTGTTGAATAAAATTGTTGACATTTAAGTAAAATTATGGGGTTTGGGGCAAATGAGGCCCTATAATTATAAAATTCATGAGGGTCATTAAGGCTAGTATAGAACTTGGTTTTATAGCTTTTTGTCGAGATAGGAGTATATTAAACTTAATTAGGAACTTAAAAGCCCTATTCGGGGGTTCAGTTGGATTGGGGCTAGGTTAAATAATGGACCGATCTTAACCATTTTCAATAGGCTTCGTTCCTGGGACAATAGAAGATCATGTACCAAATTTCATTGTATTATCTTTGAAATTGCGACCTGTAGTTTGATTACAAGGCTTACATGGACTTACGGACGGACATAGCTAAATCGACTCAGAAAATGATTCTAAGCCGATTGGTATACTTTAAGGTGGGTATAGGACCAATATTATTGTGCGTTACAAACATCAGCACAAACCCAATATACCCTTCCCACTAAAGTGGTGTAGGGTATAAATACTTTTAAAAGAAAAATCAATTTTTTTCATGTTTTGAATTTCACAAACGATCTAGTCTAAAAATAATGGATTTAAATGTTTAATAAAAATATAAATTACTTTCAGAAACGGTCTTTTTTGGTTATGTATTCTGTTAGTCTATTCGATATTAAATAAACTTTTTATGGAAAACTATTTCGATATGTTTGCCCATTAATCTCCTAATAGGGATAACTGACCACGAATGCATCCTGTAGACTTGTTGCTTCAAATACTCTTGTAAATTTTGAAATTGTTGACCTCTGGATTAGTATAGTGATTTAGCATAGATCTTCCAATTTATATTTATTATTACCTTAGCATCAAAAAAATAGCACGTTCAGCCATTATTTTACTAGTTTCTACTATTTTACTTATTGCTTAAATCAATTCATTTCGCATTCAATAATTAGATTTTAAATAAAATATAAATATTTTCATAGCATGGAGTGTTAGAAAAGAGAGCGTAAATGCCGCAGAGGCAAAAAGAGGCAAACATTTTTATTTTGGTGTTATTAAGAAGATTTCAGAGTATCTTTAGCATATGGTCGCTTAGAGGCCATCAGTGGCCAAATTGTACTTTTTCACTTTTAAAAATTGAAAAAAAACATAAATATCTATAAAAAATTGCATTTAAAGAAGTCGTTAATAATTAAGTCTCTGGCTGTAAAGATGATTTAAAATAACACCTTTTCATACATAACAATGGTATATTTGGTATCGATAAAGACAATTTTAAGAAATTTTATATTAAATGGTAGATTCGTACAAAAAATGTTATGGTATTAAATTAAATAAAAAAAATTCTTGAAAAATATATATAAAAACATAAACTTTGCTGCATCATCTAAAGGCCTATACAATAAAAATGGGAAAACTAATGATAGCGTTATATAGAATAAAGTCTTAGCTTTCCAGGCATATTAAATTTTTATCAAAAAACTCATTTCTAAATATTTACTTTATGCCAAGTTTACTTAAAGGAGACCCAAATGTGCATCGTTTGTAGACGTTTGTGAAATTCAAAAAATTAATTTTTGAAACTTCTTGAAAGCATGTCTGACTGAATTATTGAAGATTTGGATACCGAATATATGTAAGTATGTATGTACATATTAAGAAAGAATAAATTTGGTCGGTTTTTCGGGTCGAATTCACCTTTTCGTAACGCTAAAACATGCACAAATTTCAGAGTTTATGAAGCTTTCGAACGTTTTAATAGACATTTTATACAAATATTTTTTTGGATGATTAGGATATATTTTCGAAAATCATATAAAAATTTCAGTTTTTGGTAATACATAATTTAAAGATAAATAACATCTAAATCTAATTTGTCATCATATACATAAATTTCGTTATTATACCTTACACCTTAGTGGGAAGGGTATTATACGTTTGTGCTGATGTTTGTAGCGCAAACACCTATACCTACCTTAAAGTATACCGATCAGAATCAATTTCTGAGTCGATTAAGATATGTCCGTCTGTCCGGCTGTATGTCCAAATTTTGATGAAATTTGGACCAAATGTCTTTTTCAGAGACAAAGCCTATTGAAAACGATTGAAATCGATCCGTTATCCGTCATATAAAGCCTATTTTAGAAACTTTGTTTTTCATCAATAAATTGCTTAAATACATCGGAATTAAGGTAAAATTTAACATAAAAGTTTCTCAATGAAAAATAAATAATTGGTGTAGAGTATCACATGGTCCGCCAATCCCGACTATACTTTCCTACTTGTATTTTTATGTTTAAGTCTTAATCCTAGTTTAAAATGGGTTCAGGAAGCAATTATTAAAATGCTAGTTGGCCCTAGATTTATACCATTATTATTTTTTTGTGGCAATACCTAAAAGTTCAAAATACAAAATGTATTTTAAATTAATTTTATACTTTCTTCTAAAAGTGAGATACAAGATTTTAAAATGTATATTGGCATAATGTTACAATCAGGAGAAATAGGTTTAAGTGGGCTAGTTCATAATAGACAACTAGTGATATTTTGTAATTGAATTAACTTCTATACATCTTTTCTATAGCAAATTTTTTGCCTTTTAATTTGGCTAAAAGAAAATTTAATCGCATTTTTTATATAAATTGTTTTTTATTTACAACACATGCCATTAAAAAAATACTTTATTGGGTTTTATAATACTTATTATACTATATATATTAGAGTGTCCCGTGGTCCACTTTTTAGGAGGAATACCTCTAAAACGATGCGTTTTAATGTACTAAATACGAGAAAAATAAAAAACAATTTTTTTGAAAAGGTGCTCAGTTCCCTTCCTGCGATTGAAAATCTTGATCTCAGTACCATATGTTCAAAAAATAATTTTTGCAATCTTTTCGACTTAACCAAATGCCAAACTATTTTTAAAAAATTTTTCTTTATGAGCTAAAAATTACGACAATTTCTATAAAAACCGAAAATAATATGGCTCTCCAGCCCACTAAAAATCATTTTGTTGACCAAAAATTTTAAAATTATTTTTCCCGTAATCAGCCTAAAATTACGGAATTTTTGAGACCCATTTCGAAAAAATCTAAAATATTTTATTTTTGAAAAATTATACAGAGGTCAGGATTTTCAATCACTGATAGGGAAGTGAGGATCATTCCAAAAAAATATTTTTAATTTTTCTCGTGTTCATTAAAGTGCTGAAATTACATATTTAGATAGATTTATCTTAAAAAATTTCAATTATTTTTTGTGTGAGAATGATTTTTTCTTGATTACCCTGGACAAAGATACATACTAATAACAGTCATATACATACTATGTCCTAGGTTTTATTCTTCTGAGTAAAATTTGTAAAATTTATTTAATATTATATATCGTTACCTAAGACGCAAACAGCCCTAACTAACCAAAAATTCGAAATCGATTTTATTGTCGATTCAAATGTATTGCATCAAAACAAATGTCCACACCAAAAATTCGACTCCTGCGACCAAAATGATCGATTTTATTGACAAAAACAAAAAGCCCTGTCTACAAAAATATTTAAATATTGAAGGTAAAGAGTCCAATTTATCCATTTTTATACCCACCATCAAAAAAGATGGGAGGTATATTGTTTTTGTCATTCCGTTTGTAACACATCGAAATATTCATCTAAGACCCACAAAAGTATATATATTCTGGATCCTCATTAAATTCTAAGACGATCTAGCCATGTCCGTCCGTCTGTCCGTCTGTCTGTCCGTCTGTTGAAAACACGATAGAGTCCAAACGGAAGCAGCTAGCGAGCTGAAATTTTGCACAAATATTTTATATTGATGCAGTTTGTTTGGTATTGAAAATGGGCAATATCGGTCCACGATTTCGCCTAGCCCCCATATAAGGCCCCCCTCAGAAAATGACATTAACGCTCATAACTGACTAAAAGAAGAAGCTAAGCGATGAAATTCGACATAAACATATTTTTTAGGAATCTTAGTATCATTGTAAAATTTTATAAGGATCGGTCCATAATTGACCCTATCCCCCATTTAAGGTCCCCCTCAGAAAATGACATTAACGCTCATAACTGACTAAAAAAAGCAGGTATAGCAATGAAATTCGACATATATATATATTTTTTAGGAACCTTAATATCATTGTAAAATTTTATAAGGATCGGTCCATAATTGACCCCATCCCCCATATAAGGACCCCCTCAGAAAATGACTTTAACGCTCATAACTGACTAAAAAAAAGCAGCCATAGCGATGAAATTCGACATATACATATTTTTTAGGAACCTTAATATCATTGTAAAATTTTATAAGGATCGGTCTATAATTGACCCTATCCCCCATATAAGGTCCCCCACAGAAAATGACATTAACGCTCATAACTGACTAAAAAGAGCAGCTATAGCGATGAAATTCGACTTAAACATATTTTTTTGGAACCTTAATATTATTGTAAAATTTTATAAGAATCGGTCCATAATTGACCCTATCCCCCATATAAGGTCCCCCTCAGAAAACGACATTAACGCTCATAACTGACTAAAAAAAGCAGCTATAGCGATCAAATTCGACTTAAACATATTTTTTGGAATCTTAATATCATTGTAAAATTTTATAAGAATCGGTCCATAATTGACCCTACCCCCCATATAAGGCCCCCTTCAGAAAATGACTTTAACGCTCATAACTGTCCAAAAGAAGCATCTATAGCGATGAAATTCGAGATGAACATATTTTATAGGAACCTAAATCGCTTTGTAAAATTGTATATGGATCGGTTCATAATTGACCCTACTCCCCATATAAGGTCCCCTTCAGAAAAATACTTTGACGCTCAGAATGGTCTAAAATAAGCATCTATAGAAATTCGACACGAACATATTTTATAGAAACTTTAATATCATTGTAAAATTTTATAAGGATCGGTCCATAATTGACCCTACCCCCCATATAAGGTCCCCTTCAGAAAATGGCTTTAAGGTTCATAATTGTCTAAAAGAAGCATCTATAGCGATGAAATTCGACATAAACTTATTATATAGAAACCTAAATCGCTTTGTAAAATTTTATAACGATCGGTCCATAATTTATCCTACCTCCATATACGGTTCCCTTCGGAAAATGGCTTTAACGCTCATTACTAGCCTAAACTAAAATCGTTATAGAAAATTTGACGAGGATCGGTCCATAATTACCAAACGTCCCCTCAGAAAATAATTTTAACGCTTTTGCTACCTTAAAAATACAAGGACAGCGACAAAATTCGACAAAAATTTCCCTATACATAGATGTAATAAATGAGAAAATTGTTTTGATAATAACAAAAGCATCGATTCTTAAATGTCAAAGTTTATTTATAAGGAAGCATTCCTTTTTGGCAATGATTTGATGGTGGGTATACAAGATTCGGCACAGACGAATATAACACTCTTACTTGTTATATACGCCATTGTCAACTATCATAACAAATGATAGGTTTTACTATTAAACGTTTTGTTTATTTACTACAAATAAATAACGTTGTAAAATTTAAAAATATTTGATAGGGCCGTTTGCGTTTTAGGTGACGATTTGTAGATATAAAAAGACGTAAAATTTTAAAAATCATTTTAATCGAAGAATGTTTTTTTTTTTTTTTTTTTTTTTGAGTTAGTACCCATTTAGGCAAGTAAAGGTATTTTCAGACTACAATACTGAGTATTAATACTTGTCAAAAATGTTTCTATCATAATACAATTTACTAGTCTAAATATAATTTGTAATTTGATTTTCAGAAATATTACTGATTTTTTTGGCATACGGTCGGTATTCATAAATTTTTTAAAACAATTCAAAAACTTTTTATTTTCCAACGTATTCGGTATGTATTTTATAAATACAATAGAAAACAAACAAAAAGTGTAAAATACATTAAAAATAAGAACGAAAAGTGCATAAATAATTGAAAATTGGATAAAAAATATTACAAATATTATAGTGTAAACATAAAATGTATTTTTCGGATTGATTTTTTGAAAATGCGAATTATTTTCATAATATTTTTAATTTGAAGTGTGTTAATACTCAGTATTGTAGTCTGAAAATACCTTAAGCGATATGTCTTTTTTATACACATGTGTTGGAATGTATAAAATTATAATACATTAATATTAAAATGTAATGTGTATTTAGAAAATATTTCTAAAACAATGTAACTAACATTGAGCTATGAAATTAATGTAAAACGCATATTTCTCACGTTATGTATCATAATAATATTCGTTCTTAAATATATTATTAGCAAGAAGTACAAGTTCCTTTGATACTTTTCCACAATTTGATTCAGTAACTATAGGATTCTGTAATGCGTCCTGTAAAGGTACCAGAAATTCACTATATGGATTTGAGCCTAATTGAAAACTTTCGATAGCTTCGAAGGCAGCACGAAATAACGGTTGCTTATTGGAATGAAAATAACCGCGATTGCCGTGCATAATTTTAATGCCTTCCACAGAAGCATTGCAAATACTCATGTACATACAATGGTCTGGACGGTAATTGTATTCACAAGGCATTATAAAGAGTTTTTCTAAAAGAGAAGAAAGATAATAGTATTATTTCTTAGTGAAAACTATGCAAATATTGAAGAGTTACAAGAAATACCTGGATGGTAATAAAAGAGTATATTAATTATATCTTGGTCTCCCCAAGTAATTCGCAATTTATATTCCTTATGTATTGGCAATACGTGTTCTTCCCATTTAAATTGTCGCATGCGTGTTAGATTCATTAGCATTACGCCTGAGTTTACACCTAATGGACCGTAATATGGATGACGTGCAAATCTATTGTACCAACCGATGTTGGGATCTTCATGTTCGGGCGTCAAAGCAGCAATTTGAGTGTCATTAAATCTACCAAAATACTTCCAAACATCCCCAACTGGAGATAAAAATAATATGTCTGTATCCACATACAGTATAGATTCAACTGATTGTAAAATACTCTAAAATGTATTGTTATCAATAACCATCAAGATTAATTATTTAGCTAATATTTCACTTACCGGAAGGAACAATCTTTGAGCAGCACATGGTTTAAATAACGTCTTCCATTCGCCGTTTAAGGGAAACTGAAGAGGAAATAATTCAAAATTAAATTCCTCCTTTTTTAATGAGCGCCAGTCACTGAGCTTTTCATTAAAACTAGACTGCAACTGATCTTCAGCAAATATTAAGAAATGCAATTTATCTTTCGATTGATTGAACAGCAGGGCTGACTTTATCATAACCAACGTTTCCTGCAGGCGTTGACCACAAGCTACCACTGCTATGTAATAAGTTGGACGGGCTATTCTAATATAAAATATAAAAGCATTTATTAGTTTAAAAATTTTCTAGATTTTTTGGTTTTTGAAAATAAAAATACTTTGTAAGGCTATTGGCCGCTGGAACAATAAGTGTACGTGAAGATTTAGTCAGCGCGTTATATCGATGATGTATCAAATATAAAATTATAGTTGCTAACAACACGCTTACGACAAGGATAATTCTCCGAAACCTCATTTCATCTGATCAATATATTCCATGTGATTATTGAATATACATTCATCTCATTCAATTTATTATGTTTTAAACATGTGAATCCTTGCGGATATGTAATTAGTCTATCACTTTTTTAAATCTATTGTTATTATGAATTTAGCATTTTGTATTAGTTTATTTGTTTACTTTTAATTTTATGTTGGATTTTATTTCGTACAGATTATATTGTTTTCAATTTCCAATTGCGACCACAACCACTAACGACTATGAGTTTGTATAGTTTTTGTATGGAGGCAATAAATAGCCAGTAAAATTGCTTATCTGAATTTTTTCTTTATGTCCCAGCTGACAATAATTTCCTAATATTTTTGTGATGTAGAGTCATTAGAGCTATCAAGTAAAGGTACATAAAATTTTAGTTAAGCAAAACCAAAAATTGTTTTGTCGACTGCGGTTCCAATTGCATTTACATATGCTATTAATTTCAGAGAGTGCCTTGCCACATGTTTTAACCCAAATAGGTTGCAAGGCAGGAATAATACTGATAATGCAGTTTAGAATAACTATATGAGCAACTCAAACATTTTTAAGAATCGATGAAACTGAAATGAAAGCCTAGTATTTTAGCCATTTAAAATATGTAAATGTTTTGATACATTTCGGTATAATATACCTAAACATATGTAGGTCCAAAATTGCACATTTAAAATTTTAAAAATGAAAAAAACTTTGAAACTTGCTAGAGTTTTTTCATTCATTTCAAAACTGTGCTCTCAGTAGGGTTCTATAGTTGAAACGAAAAGTCGACTTTTCTCCTTTTTGCAGTAAGTTAAAAGTCGACTTTTCGACTTTTGCATTTTATGAAAAGTCGATTTTTCGATACCCGTTAATAAAACAACCTTTTGATAAAACAGCAAACCCTAACAGCTGTTTTTGATTGTTGTGTGGTGAGTTTCTGTAAAAACGTAAACAAATGAAAAAAAAAAAACAAATTACTAGACATATTTATTTTGTGCTAAGAAAAATTTATGTATTTTAATAATGTTTTATAGCCAGTGCAAGTGTTCTTGGTGTACACCATCTAACCCAATAATAATCCCGGTTTCATTAGAATCAAGTATTTTTAAAACGGCCATATATAATGTGCAATTCATTCTATATGCCATGACTGGTTGAAAGAGTCACGGAATCCATCGGAGATCAACCTAAAAAATGAAAAAGGGGTGGATTTAACTTCTTGTTCCGTTCATATGGGACAAGATTCGAGCCTCATCGTATCAGTTCGCCAGATACCTCATTTGTGTATATTGCAGGGTCCTGGTACCCAACACAGCCTTATTGTAAACGGTCTCATAATAATACTTCGATCTTTTCTTCATTCTACGACTATGCAAGAATACAGCTATGACATATTAATGCTTTAAATGCAGCATGACTATCAACCTAAAATCTTACCAGAGACCGGCGAACAATGTGATTCCCTATTAGTTCCGTAACTTTCAAGATCGCTAAATCACCACTTGGAAGACACAACCCATCTGGGTGTCAAGGAACATTTTACACCGTTTGTAACACATTGAAATATTGGTCTAATATCCATAAAAGTATATGCTGGGATCTTATTACAGTCTAAGATTGAGTTTGTTATTGAAAATGGACAATATCGGTATACGATAAACTCATCAAGGAGCCAAGGAACTTTTACACCGAAATATTGGTCTAAAATCCATAAAAGTATAGACTAGGATCTTAGCCAATATTTGCCAAAATATTTTTAGTTGATGGAGTTTATTATTGAGCTTCAATATTCCAGTATAGCGAAGAAGAACGACAAAAACAAGTTTTATAGGAACTAAAATCTTTTTGCCAAATTTTATGAGGATCAGGAAATTATTTTACAAGATTTATATGATCCAAAACCTTTCTGGGTTGGTTCAAAATTGACCCTACCCCCATATAAGTTCCCCTTCAGAAAAAGATATTAACTCCAATAATAAACAAGGAGTCAACATCGTTTTGTCAAATTTAAGGGGATCGGTCCATAATTTAACCTATCCCCGATATAAGGTCCACCTCGGGAAATTACTACCACTCATAACTGGCTTAAAAAAATAGCTATAAAATTCGACAACAACTTTTATATGAAACAAAATTTATCTGTTGAATTTTGTAAGGGTCGGTCCACAGTTGACCCTACCTAAAATCTCAAACAGATTATGCCATCCGATTTCTACACTTCCAACTTAAAGTTCTATATATGTTTTTATCGTGCACAAGATCTTCCGATAGCAGTTATGTATAATTTTCTATATACGGATATAGTCACATTTTTGTAAAAAAAGTTTGTTGCTGTAGTACACACCCTAGAACGATGAACTCCACAAAACAAATTATGCCATCCGATTTGTATATTTCCAACTTAAAGTTCTATATAGATTTTTATCGTGCACAAGATCGTCCGATAGCAGTTATATATAATTTTCTATATACTTCCATAATAAAATTTTTTGTCAAAAAAAGTTTGTTGTAGTACACACCCTAGCACGATGAAATCAGGAAAAAAATATATGCCATCCGATTTCTACACTTCCAACTTAAAGTTATATATAATTTTCTATATATTTCCATAATAAAACTATGTAAAAAAAAGTTTGTTGTTGTAGTACACACCCTAGAACGATGAAATCCGAAAAAAATGTATGCCATCCGATTTCTACACCTCCAACTTAAAGTTCTATATAGGTTTTTATCGTGCACAAGATCGTCCGATAGCAGTTATATATCATTTTATATATACGGCCATAGTAACATTTTTGTAAAAAAAAGTTTGTTGTTGTAGTACACACCCTAGAACGATGAAATCCGGAAAAAAATGTATGTCATCCGATTTCTACACTTCCAACTTAAAGTTCTATATAGGTTTTTATCGTGCACAAGATCGTCCGATAGCAGTTATATATCATTTAATATATACTTCCATAATAACATTTTTGTAAAAAAAAGTTTGTTGTTGTAGAACACACCCTAGAACGATGAAATCCGGAAAAAAATGTACGCCATCCGATTTCTACACTTCCAACTTAAAGTTCTATATAGGGTTTTATCGTGCACAAGATCGTCCGATAGCAGTTATATATCATTTTATATATACGGCCATAGTAACATTTTTTGTAAAAAAAAGTTTGTTGTTGTAGTACACACCCTAGAACGATGAAATCCGGAAAAAAATGTATGTCATCCGATTTCTACACTTCCAACTTAAAGTTCTATATAGGTTTTTATCGTGCACAAGATCGTCCGATAGCAGTTATATATCAATTTATATATACTTCCATAATAACATTTTTTGTAAAAAAAAAGTTTGTTGTTGTAGTACACACCCTAGAACGATGAAATCCGGAAAAAATGTATGCCATCCGATTTCTACACTTCCAACTTAAAGTTCTATTTAGGTTTTTATCGTGCACAAGATCGTCCGATAGCAGTTATATATCAATTTGTATATACTTCCATAATAACATTTTTTGTAAAAAAAAAGTTTGTTGTTGTAGTACACACCCTAGAACGATGAAATCCGGAAAAATATGTATGTCATCCGATTTCTACACTTCCAACTTAAAGTTCTATATAGGTCTTTATCGTGCACAAGATCGTCCGATAGCAGTTATATATCATTTAATATATACGGCCATAGTAAAATTTTTTGTAAAAAAAAAGTTTGTTGTTGTAATACACACCCTAGAACGATGAAATCCGGAAAAAAATGTATGCCATCCGATTTCTACACTTCCAACTTAATATTCTATATAGGTCTTTATCGTGCACAAGATCGTCCGATAGCAGTTATATATCAATTTATATATACTTCCATAATAACATTTTTTGTAAAAAAAAAAGTTTGTTGTTGTAGTACACCCCCTAGAACGATGAAATCCGGAAAATAATGTATGCCATCCGATTTCTACACTTCCAACTTAAAGTTCTATATAGGTTTTTATCGTGCACAAGATCGTCCGATAGCAGTTATATATCATTTTATATATACGGCCATAGTAACATTTTTTGTAAAAAAAAAGTTTGTTGTTGTAGTACACACCCTAGAACGATGAAATCTGGAAAAAAATGTATGCCATCCGATTTCCACACTTCCAACTTAAAGTTCTATATAGGTTTTTATCGTGCACAAGATCGTCCGATAGCAGTTATATATCATTTTATATATACGGCTATAGTAACATTTTTTGTAAAAAAAAAGTTTGTTGTTGTAGTACACACCCTAGAACGATGAAATCCGGAAAAAAATGTATGCCATCCGATTTCTACACTTCCAACTTAAAGTTCTATATAGGTTTTTATCGTGCACAAGATCGTCCGATAGCAGTTATATATCATTTTATATATACGGCTATAGTAACATTTTTTGTAAAAAAAAAGTTTGTTGTTGTAGTACACACCCTAGAACGATGAAATCCGGAAAAAAATGTATGTCATCCGATTTCTACACTTCCAACTTAAAGTTCTATATAGGTTTTTATCGTGCACAAGATCGTCCGATAGCAGTTATATATCATTTTATATATACGGCCATAGTTACATTTTTTGTAAAAAAAAAGTTTGTTGTTGTAGTACACACCCTAGAACGATGAAATCCGGAAAAAAATGTATGCCATCCGATTTCTACACTTCCAACTTAAAGTTCTATATAGGTTTTTATCGTGCACAAGATCGTCCGATAGCAGTTATATATCATTTTATATATACGGCTATAGTAACATTTTTTGTAAAAAAAAAGTTTGTTGTTGTAGTACACACCCTAGAACGATGAAATCCGGAAAAAAATGTATGCCATCCGATTTCTACACTTCCAACTTAAAGTTCTATATAGGTTTTTATCGTGCACAAGATCGTCCGATAGCAGTTATATATCATTTTATATATACGGCTATAGTAACATTTTTTGTAAAAAAAAAGTTTGTTGTTGTAGTACACACCCTAGAACGATGAAATCCGGAAAAAAATGTATGCCATCCGATTTCTACACTTCCAACTTAAAGTTCTATATAGGTTTTTATCGTGCACAAGATCGTCCGATAGCAGTTATATATCATTTTATATATACTGACCATAGTAACATTTTTTGTAAAAAAAAGTTTGTTGTTGTAGTACACACCCTAGAACGATGAAATCCGGAAAAAAATGTATGCCATCCGATTTCTACACTTCCAACTTAAAGTTCTATATAGGTTTTTATCGTGCACAAGATCGTCCGATAGCAGTTATATATCATTTTATATATACGGCCATAGTTACATTTTTTGTAAAAAAAAAGTTTGTTGTTGTAGTACACACCCTAGAACGATGAAATCCGGAAAAAAATGTATGCCATCCGATTTCTACACTTCCAACTTAAAGTTCTATATAGGTTTTTATCGTGCACAAGATCGTCCGATAG